AAGCTGGTGTCGCAGCACCATCCCCAGCTTGCTTGCACAAGTGAGCTGGCATTGCAGCACTGTCCCCAGCCTGCTTGCATGAGCAAGCCAGTGTCAGAGCACCATCATCAGCCTGCTTGCACGAGCGAACTGGCCTTACAGCACCATCCCTAGCTTGTTTGCACGAGCGAGCTGGCGTTGCAGCAYCATCCCCAGCTTGCTCRCACRAGTGAGCTGGTGTCACAGCACGCAGGCCCCAACAACAGGTTAGTGCTTCATACCAAACAGCGGGCGGGAGCACAGCTTGGAGCTTGGTGACCCCTCCGTCGACGGGGACGAGGAACTGCACGTTGTTGAGAGCTACGGGCGTAGTCATTGCCTCTGTATTGTATTTGTAGTCAATGCGGAGGTCGGTGCTTGCGGGGTCACAGCGCCAGCTCACTGCAAGGTTTAATGGAGTAGACTGAATACCCTGGGCAGACACCTTCCAAAACGACAGAGAAGACACTCAGTTTCCGCCGGGCCGAAGGGAGAGCGCCCGCGACGCTGCTGGCGGCGGCCGTGCCCTGCCTGCCCGCGGGAGCCCGGACCCTCCGCCAGCGCCCGCGGCGCCTACCTGGTACTTGAGCATGTCCACGTTGTAGTAGGTGGCCTGGGGCTTCTGCTCCGATACCTTCTTGAGGTGGGCCATCAGGTTGGGCATGTTCACCCAGAACTCCTTGGTGCCGGCAGCGGCCGGCGCGGTGTCGCTGCGTGGGACAAGAGCGCTGAGCGCGCGCGGTGGGAGCGTCCCGCGCGCGGTGCCGGCCCCGCAGAGGCACTCACCAGCACAGGAGCTGCGGGTTGGGCAGCACGTGCTCCAGCCGGTCGTAGTTGAGCACGCGGAAGGTGAGCACAGCGGGCGTCGGGTTGGTGGCGAAGTGCCGCGTGATGCCCGCCGGGAAGGAGAGCACCATCTCACCCGTGATCTTCACGATGCACCTGCGGCGACGGGCGGCCGCTGCTCAGGGTGGCCCCAACCCAGCCGAAACGCCCCCGAACACCCCAAAACGTGGCCGCACCATCAAGCACGGTGCTTTTGTGGCCACGGGGCGCCCCCCACGGCACCTACTTGCTGGGGTCGGCTCCTTTGAAGTAGGCGTTGACGGTCTCGGTGAAGGCGGCGGCGACGGGCAGCGTGTCCTGCGCCCCCATGGTGAGCGGGCTGGGGCCCCGCGACGAGCCTGCGGCGGGGGAGCGGCGTCAGGGCCCCGCGCCCGCGGCCAAGGGCGGCCCCGTGCCGGCCCGCGCGCCTGCCCGCTCCGCGCGCCTGCCACGGGCTCGCTCCTTGCAGCGCGAAACCGGGCTGCGGCCGCTGGCGGCAGCTCCTTGGCATTGCAAAGCGCGCGGGGATGGAGAGCGGGGCGGGGCGGGGTTCACGAGCCTGCGTCTCAGCACCCACTGCAAAGTGGGGCCTGGTGGAAGCGCTCGGCACTCCTGCAGCGTGTGCCGGGTGCTCACAGGCACCCGGTGCTCCTGCGGCCCGGCACTGCACCCCAGCACCGGCACCTGCGGGAACGCAG